ATGTTGGGTTGGAAGTTATTTGATCTTTGCTTGGTGTGTTCTCAGACTGTAGCAAATTTTCAGTAAGTGACTTATTTTGCTACAATGAGTACATTGTTGGCAGAGGCCTTCATTCTCTGCACTAATGCAGTGTTTTAGAATCACATCTGTGACAAGGTACTATAGCATTAGATTGCTTAGTATTTTAAGTTGATGTTGCCGCACTTAATTTCTTGGTCAAATGAGGGGTTTGTCTTCTTTGGTCGGATTGTATTTTGTGCTTTAAGTTGGCAACATTGTCAAGAGAATTTTCTGCATTAAACTGGACTTGCTGTATACTGCTTCTTGAAAAATTTTCTAGATTCTGATTCCACCTGTATTTGGACTGGTCATTCTAGTATTAGATCCACTTTCAGCTGAAGAAATCAATGACAATTCTATCACAAACGAGGTCTTGTAAGTTTCCCAAGCTGCATGGTTCTGATGGTTTCATTAATAACTTATATATACTATCTGCAGGCTGTCCTGGAAGTTGATATCTGCAATCTCACTAGTGTCTTATTTGTTCTGTGGTCAATCTAACACCTGATGTAATGTTCTGTAGAGATTTAAACTGTCCTTAATTTGATTTGGTGCCCAACACTGAAGTTATTTAGTATTGAGGAATTGTGCTTTCCACATTTGCCAATTCGCTGATCTATCAAAGGGATTCAATAATTTGAATTTTTCCTTTGGAAAGATCTGTATAGGCATATTCTGATATATTGCTTGATCATTCATAGACATTTGAAGTTATTGATTATCTTCTTGATTTGTGCAATGATTTTTACAATTTTTATCTCTTCATACTACACTAATTTGTGGCCTTGTATTCTTTGAACATTAAAGCTGTTGTTGAATCATTATTGTTGTAAATATTGTTTTGTAGCAATAAAACTGAAAGCTGTCAAAGTTTCTGCTGTTCTAATTGCTGTTTTCAAAGTAAAGTTTGATTTTCCATTTCCAATATGCCATCTTCCTAAAGGTGAATAAAGATATTCCTTTTCCAAAATGGCTGAAGGATTGCCAAAGATGACAATTCATGATAATCTTACCTGCATTTGAGGTTCTTTCACACAGAATTTGGCAGTGTGTAATCAGAGTCATGCATTTTCTTTGTCCAGTTTATCACAGTTTAATGATTTAAATCAATAAAACTTTTCAATTGCTCAATAAAATTTAATTTGTCATTCAAACAGTCAAAATAATAAAAAAAACTCATTGACCTCACTGTTAGAGCTTTGATACTTCGACTTGCAATAACAATTCTATTTCTGATTTTTTTCCTTTATCTAATTCCCGAGGAAGTGGTGGATGTGGGTACAATTACAAAATTTAAAAGACATTTGGATACACACAAGACTAGGAAATGTTTGGAAAGATATGGGCTAGTACCAGGCAGGTGGGATTAATTTAGTTTGGGATTATGTTTGGCATGGACTGGATGGACCAAAGTATCTGTTTCTGTGCTGTATGACTCTATGATTTTATTTAAACCTGTAACTGAAGAATCACTTAATTTTCTTTTTTGTCTTTTTCATCAATGAAATAGTTCAGAAATTTGTTAACGTATTCTTAGGAGTCATAACCACATTCCTCAGCCTAGTTTTTCAGGTACTAATGAACCAGTTTAATTGAATAATCTCTCTTCTTTGTGTGTTCATGTCTATGTCGTCATCTGGTCTGGTCCAGTCCTAGTATCTTCCTTCTTATGTGCTCTAACTTCTTCCACACTGTACCTTTATACTCAGTGAAGTACAGATATCATTGTAACTTTGTTCTAGGGCCTAATATCCTTACATAACTGAATCCTTCTTGCCTGACTGGAAGCCAAGCTTGTAAATGAAGATACCACCTGGTGCTGTGGGGTACAAGCTGCACACCACTCCAGGAGACCTGGGTTTCGTGTCTGAAACTCCATCCCCTTTAATAACCAAATCTGCCCAAGTAACTACATCGTGATAGCACAATTTTGAACCAAGCTGAATTTTTTTTTTAATCACCTTATTCAGAGATGTTATTTACTCACCTCTGGAGCAGGTGGAACCTGAACGCCAAACTGAATTGTAAGATTGTCACAAAGCATGTCGTTGGACATATAGCAGACAAACTGGCACCAACACAGCTGATTTAGGTGGAAAATGATACAAAGTGACAGCAAAATTCTGTGCATGCTGAAGATCTGGAATTAAAACAGAGAGTACCGGAGAAACTCAGCAGGTCTGGCAACATCTGTCTGGAGAGAAACAGAGTTAACATTTCTAGTCCAATGGAGAAGAATCATATCAGACTTGAAATGTTAACTTCCTTTCTCTCCTGACAGATACTACCAGACCTGCTGATTTCCTCCAGGACTTTCTGAATGTACTTCTAAATTATCAGCGCCATCTTGGCTCAGTGAGTAGCACTGCTGCCAGGCACCTGGGTTTGATTTGAGCCTCCGGTGACTGTATGGAGTTTGCACATTTTCCCCATGTCTGTGTGGGTTTCCTCTGGGTGTTCTGGTTTCCTCCCACAGTCCAAAGGTGTGCAGGTTAGGTGATTGGCCATGGTAAATTGTCCTGTAGTGTCCAAGGATGTTCAGGTGAGGTGGTTTAGCTATGGAAGATGCAGAGATAGGGTAGGGGGTGGGTCTGAGTGGGATGGTTGATGTGGACTTGATGGGCCAAATGGCCTGCTTCCACATTGTATGGATTTTCTAATTAATTGAAACCGAGCTAACAGCATTTACCATAAATCATGGGTGAAATTGTCTTAATCCCTGCATCATTGGCTGGGCCTTGAATCCAGTTCAAGGTATTAGAATATTACATCTGTTCTTAGAAATGTTTGCCCCCATGTCCTTTCCTGCCCTATTTCAACAATAGAAGAATTCATAAACTTTGCTTTTCAACAGAGCATGCTCCAGATTGCCTGCTTGCACGAAAAGTATGGAGATGACACTATAAAGACTGACCGTAGGATGAGGCAGAAATATATGCAGAATATGAAGTGAAATACGCTGTCATTTTTGGCAAGCAACCAGGATCACCTGTTACACAAAATCTAGGGTCAAATAGTAAAAATTACTGTTGTCAGATGATAATTGGCAAATATTAAAATTAACTATTGTCACCAAAAGTCACAGTCTTGCCCTTAGGAATAGAACAATGACAATGCAATCATTGGGTTTCGACTATGGGAATAGGAGAAGGGAACTGGTGTGAACAGATTTTCTTTTTTAATTCAGTTCCAAAGAAGAATTATTGGACTTGAAACATTAATTCTGTTTGTCTCTTGACAGATGTTGGCAGGCCTGCTTAGTTTCTATTTTTAGTTCAGATTTCCAGCATCTGCAGTATTTAATTTTAAACCAAGGAGGAAGTTGATGTTCAAGTCAGAAGTAGAATGAGAGTAAAGATTAGTAAAGATTTTTTCCTTTCTGTATTTCACTCATTTTTGCATGTGGTTTGAATTTCCCTTTATTGAGCAAGTAAGGTTTAAATAATCACAATTTGCCATAAACTGTTTTGTGAAAGTTAACTTTGAAATTTTGATCAGAATAAGAATATTAAAATTCAGTTTAATACACTTCAAATCTATTGACCTCACATGATCATATTTTCAGTTTCCTAACGTACATCAATCTTAATGAAATGTACACGCCTTACAAGCATGTACTATTAATAACAATTCATTTTGATATACTTCAATGATCATATTTACTGAATAAATTTCTCCAGAATCTTCAGCAAGTTGGTAGAGATGTTTATAAAACTTATTCTGACTCTCAACTATTTAAAAAAAAATCATTTTGGGGTGTGAATGTCTCTGTCAAGGCTGCCCTATATTTCCACCCCTAATTGACCTGACAGGTCAAACTAGGTTACCTTCCAACTAACAATTAATGCTTGAACTGACTAATTCAACACTTGCAGTGTTATTGTCCTCTTGCTAATGTGAATATGTTCCTCATTACCTTCATTACTGATTCATTGTTAATTGTATACTTAATGCCTATAGCCAGTTAGTAAATACATAGAATGAGCGTTTAATCCTGCCATTGTGCTGTAATTTTGGAATTTAAATACAGTCAAATACTTGGAAATAGAGCATTTAAACATGATCTTGAAGTATGTTCTAAGAATACTCTCTTAATATTCTTCAAGAGAAGGAAAACTACCATTGCACAGTCTCGTTTATATGAGACTCCAGTCCCACACCAATGCAGTTGACTCTTAGCAACCCTCTGAAGTCATTTAAGAATGCATTTAGTTGTATCAAAACTACTGTCAGAAATAGAATGAGATAGACTGCAACAGTTGAAGAAGGTAGCCCAGTTTGACTTCTCAGAGTGATTAGGGGTTTTCAATAAACAGTAACCTTGAGAGTAACATCCCAGAATGATGTTTTTATAAGAGTTGAGAGACTAACATTTTAAAAAGTTAGAATAATTCTTTATAAGCACTGCTATTATCTTACTGAAGAGTGGAGAAATTTGGTAAATGTAATCATGTGAAGTCAATAGATTTGAAGTATATTAAAATGAATTGTTCCAGTTGTTATTAATAGCACAAGCGTGTAAGGCATATACATTTTCATTCTTGATCCTAAAACTTTAATATTCATTATTTGTTGAAAGCAGTGTCAGAAAAGAAATTATGCTTCCAACTTAGAACAATTCTATGAGCAATTTTAATAAATTTCTCTGTGTGATCTGTGTTTTGATTTAAAATTTATTTTCCGAAGAAAAACAGTTGAAAGCATAAGCATTTCAAATCTCCAAAATGGCAAATGCAAAATAACAAGATATAAATATAACCACAATATAGCCTCAAAAAATTAATCCGCAAGGTCATCAGTTTCACATTTGCATTTTAATCAAACTACTTTGTTTACAAAAACAAAAGGTTAAATTAGCCACTTAATATAACAAGAAAATTGAAGCAAGATATAAAAAGGTTGAACATTTCCACATTGCTTTTTGCTATCAACGTACTTACAATCACAAAGATGGAAACTCCCTCGTTCACCAGCCAGTTTCCCATTCTTGGAGTAACAATGAATTTACTAGTTCACAGATGTAAAGTTAAGCAAACAAATAAGGAAGTGAGAATTTTGTTTGATAGTTGCACAACCTATCTCTACTTGCAGAATAAATTAAATGAATAAAATGAATTACATGGATATCAATGTATAATATAACAAAAATTAAACATCATTCTCTCTAATTTTTTTGTTGTTCTTTCAAGGATGTGGGAACTCGGGGAGGTGATGGCCTAGTGGTATTATTGCTGGACTGTTAATCCAGAGTTCCAGATAATGTTCTGGGGACCCTGGTTTGACTCCTGCCACAGCAGATGGTGGAATTTGAATTCAATAAATATCTGGAATTAAGAATCTAATGATGACCGTGAATCCATTGTCGATTATTGGAAAAACCCATCTGGCTCACTAATGTCCTTCATGGAAGGAAACTGCCATCCTTTCCTAGTCTGGCCTACATGTGACTCACACTGCAATGTGGTTGACTCTTAACTGATCTCTGGGCAATTAAGGATGGGCAATAAATGCTGCCTTAGCCAGTGACACCCTCATCCTGTGAATGAATAAAGGAAAAAAAAATCATTTGTTAGGCCATTACTTATTGCTCATTCCCAATTGTCTTTGAGAAGGGAGCTGTCTTCTTGAACCATTGCAGGCCTTGGGATGTTGATATGTGCACACCGCTGTTGGATTTTGACAGTGAACGAACAGCAATATAGTTCCAAGTCAGGATGATGCGTGTCATGGAGGTTTACTGGCAGATGGTATGGTTCCCAATAATCTTTTGCCTTTGTCCTTCTAGGTAGCAGAGGTCACATGTGTGGAAGTTGCTGTCAGAGGAGCCTTGGCAAAGGACAACAAATGTAAGTTTTTGCTAGGGATGTCAGTTGTGACATCAGAACATTTCCATGTGGGCTTATGACCTGAACTTAACTTGTATTTATTTTCATAGAGTCATAGAGAGTCATGGAGATATACTACACAGAAACATACCCTTCGGTCCAACTCGTCCATGCCGACCAGATATCCTAAATTAATCTCGTTCCATTTGCCAGCATTTGGCTCATTTCCCTCTAAACGCTTCCTATTCATATACCCATCAAGATGCCTTTTAAATGTTATCATTGTACCAGCCTCCACCACTTCCTCTGGCAGCTAATTCCATACTCTCTGCATGAAAAAGTTGCCCCATAAGTCCCTTTTTAATCTTTCCCCTCTCACCTTAAACCAATGCAGTCTAGTTTTGGACTCCACCACCTGAGGGAAAAAACGTTGTCTATTTACTCTATCCATGCTCCTCATGATTTTATAAACTTCTATAAAGTCACCCCTCAGCCTCCAATGCTCCAGGGAAAATAGCCCCAGTCTATTCAGCCCCTCCCTATAGCTCAAACCCTCCAACCCTGGCAACATCCTTGTAAATCTTTTCTGACCCCTTTCAAGTTTAACAACATCCTTCCTATAGCAGGGCGACCAGAATTGCAATCAATATTCCAATAGTAGCCTAACCAACGTCCTGTAGAGCCTCAACATGACCTCCAACTCCTATACTCAATGTACTGACCAATAAACACAAGCATATCAAATGCCTTCTTCACTATCCTATCTACCTGTGACTCCACTTTCAAAGAACTATGAACTTGCACTCCAAGGTCTCTTTACACCTTACCATTAAGTGTATAAGTCTTGCCCTGATTTGCCTTTCCAAAATATGGCACCTCACATTCATCTAAATTCAATTCCATCTGCCACCCCTTCGCCCATTGGCTCATCTGATCAAGTTCCATTGTACTATGAGGTAACTTTCTTGCTGTCCAGTACAACCTCCAATTTTGGTGTCATCTGCAAACTTACTAACCATACCTCCTATGTTCACATCCAAATCATTTATATAAATGATGAAAAGCAGTGGACCCAGCACCGATCCTTGTGGCACACCACTGGTCACAGGCCTCTAGTCTGAAAAGCAGCCCTCCACCACCACCCTCTGTCTTCTACCTTCAAGCTGGTTCTGTTTCCATGTGGCTAGTTCTCCCTCTACTCCATGTGATCTAACCTTGCTAACCAGTCTACCATGAGGAACCTTGTCGAATGCCTTACTGATGTTGATATCGATCAAGTCCACCATTCTGCCCTCATCGATCCTCTTTGTTACTTCTTCAAAAAACTCAATCAAGTTTGTGAGACACGATTTCCCACACACAAAACCATATTGACTATCATGTTCCAAATATATGTAAATCCTGTCCCTCAGGATTCCCTCCAACAACTTGCCCATCACTGATGTCAGGCTCACCAATCCCTGGTTTTTCCTTACCACCTTTCTTAAATAGAGGCATCACGCTAGCCAATCTCCAGTCTTCCAGCACCTTGCTTGTGGCTATTGATGGTACAAATATCTCAGCCAGGGGCCCAGCAATCACTTCCCTAGCTTCCCACAGAATTCTAGGTTACACCTGATCAGGTCTCGGGGATTTATCCACCTTTATGATTTTAGGACATCCAGCACCACCTCCTCTGTAATATGGACATTTTTCAAGATATCACTATTTCCCAACGTTGTCTATCTTCCATATCCTTCTATTGCAAAATACTTGTTTAGTATCTCCTCCATCTCCTGCAGCTCCACACACAGGTGGCCTTGCTGATCTTTAAGGGGCCCTATTCTCTCCCTAGTGGCCCTTTTGTCCTTAATGTATTTGTAGAATCCCTTTAAATTCTCCTTAACCGTATTTGCCAAAGTTATCTCATGTCCTGTTTTTGCCACCCGATTTCCCTCTTAAATATACTCCTACTGCTTTTGTACTGTCCTAGGGATTTACTTGATTTCTGTTGTCTATGCCTGACATATATATGCTTCCTTCTTATTCTTGACCAAAACCTCAGTTTCTCTAGTCCCTACAACTACCAGCCTTGCCCTTCACCCTAACAGGAAGATACTGTCTCTGGATTCTTGTTAACTAATTTTTGAATGCTTTCCATTTTCCAGCCATCCTTTTACCTGTGTACATCTGTCCCCAATTAACTTTTGAAAGTTCTTGTCTAATACTGTCAAAATTGGCCTTCCTCCAATTTAGAACTTTAAATTTTAGATCTAGTTTATCTTTTTCCATCACTATTTTAAAACTAATAGAACTATGATCACTAGTCCCAAAGTACTTCTCCACTGACACATCAGTCACCTGCACTGCCTTATTTCCCAAGAGTTTTGTACCTTCTGTAGCAGGTACATCCACATTCTGGATAAGAAAAATTTCTTGTACACTCCTAAAAAATTTCTTTTCGTACAAGTCCTTAACACAATGGCAGTCCCTGTCTATGTTTGGAAAGTTGAAAAGCCCTTCCATTACCACCCTATTATTCTTACACATAACTGACATCTCCTTACAAATTTGTTTCTCAATTTCCTGCTGACTACCGGGGAGTCTATAGTACATTCCCAACAAGGTGATCATTCCTTTCTTATTTCTCAGTTCTACCCAAATAGCTTCCCTGGATGTATTCCTAGGAATATCCTCCCTAAATAGACACATAATGCTATCCCTAAACAAAAACACCTCTCCCACTCCTCTCTCGTCCCCCTTTCGATCCTTCCTCTAGCATCTATACCCTGGAACATTGAGCTGCCAGTCCTGTCCATCCCTGAGCCACGTCTGTGTAATTGCTATGATATCCCATCCCATGTTCCTAACCATGCCTTAGTTCACCTGCCTTACCTATTAGGCTTCTTGCATTGAAATAAATGTAGTTTAATTCATCAGTCCTACCTGGTTCTCTACTTTGTTCCTGCCTGCCCTGTTTGTTTGATATACTCTATTTCCCAACTGTACCAGTCTCAGACTGATCTCCTTGCTCACCATTCCCTGAGGCCCACTCCAACCCCTTAACATCCACATGCCCCTCCACCCCAACTCCTCACAAGTTTAAATCCTCCCAAGTAGCTCTAGCAAACCTCCCCTCCAATATATTAGTCCCCTTCAATTCAGATGCAATCCTTCCTTCTTATACAGGTCACTTCTACCCCAGAAGACAGTCCAATGGTCCAAAAATGTAAATCCTTCTCGAATGCACCAGCTCCTCAGCCATGCATTCATCTGCTCTATCATCCTATTCCAACCTTCACTAGCTTGTCCACCCATAAAAAGTTTGTGTGGGCCACTTGACCAGTGGGAAATTCAAACTTTTGATTCAGCATATTTATCTTCTGTTCAGCTCACATTAATTCTCAATGTTTTTAGGTCACATACATTTGACCCGTAAAATGGGTGTGATTTTCTGCTTTAAGTGGAGGCAAAAAGATTGGTGGGCATGACAACTTAATTGAGTGAGAGTCCAAAAATAAGATTCTTGCTGTCGAGTGAAACGTTACCAATTAAGTTCTCCCTTCTCAAAGGCAAGTTGACCTTCCTGCAATCAAGCGTCAAGGACCTCAACACCCTGTGGTTGTATCTTATGAATTACACAAATTGCATTTTGGACGTGATGGCTTAGCTCCAAAGGCAAGGCAGCAACTGTGGCTGAGGGGGCAGAAGGTTACACATTAGGTTGTACCTAAAGGGCATAGTTATACATCTACGTAAAAAGTCGGCGGGGGGGGTACATTTGGATGAAAGGCATGATGATGGTGTCACCTTCAGATCTGTTGCACGTGTTTGTGACAAGCACAAAACATGAGGATAAAGGGCATGGGGTGTGTGAGCAGGAGAAGGGAGGCATGGTTAATCAGGGATATCAAACAAAGCCATGTAGGGGGATGCGCCACATCAATCAGGGAGATAGATTGTGGATTAACTGGGAGGATGGAGAATACTAAAGGGTTTGTCCTTGGCATCCTCAAGGTTGCAGGCAGCTCAAATCTGGGACTTGTCTGATTGTATTGGTTAGCTGAGGGTTTGACTACAGTCATAGGGAGTAATTGTTTGTAATGGGTGAGATGTGGTAGTCTAGGGTAGGGTATCATCAAGGAAATACAGCGTGACTGTGACCTGGATGTGGCAAGTAGATCATGGGCATTAGGAT